TTTTAAAGCCTACTAAAGACTCATGAAATATAAAGTATATTTTAAAAAGTTAATAAATAAGACAAGTTTTAGTTTACATAATAACACAAAGTTTCATTATGATCATTTTAAAAACTGAAAGACACAGGCTGTGATTTACATTCACTTGTAAGAGTATATAATTAGCTCAGCTGCAGGCCACACCAGTCAGGAGTACAGAGATCCCCTGCTACACCTAAATAAAGCTAGCCACCAGAAGTCCAGCTCCCAACTTGGACACTGGCTTCCTACTGGATCAGAGGTCACACTGGCTGCTAGAAATCCAGAAGACCAGAAGACCAAAGATGAAACAGAAACCAAGGAAAAAAACACCCATCTAACAAATACAAACTCATAAATCAACACCTAGACATAATCATCCCAATCCAGATACCTAAACGCCAGTGTAAGAACACAATCAACAACAGCAAGACCTGAATATTCAAACACAGCTGAAGCACAAGAAAATGACCTTAATGCCAACTTTATGAAGATGATAGAAGTCCTTAAAGAGGAAATAAAACAAAAACCCCAAACAACAACAACAACAACAAAAACCTTAAAGTTGAGGAAAAAACACAAAAAGTTGGAGGAAATTGATAAACCCATTAAAGAATGCCAAGAAAGCCAAGAAAATACAAACAGGTGAAGAAAACCATCCAAGATCTAAAAATTGAAATAGAAGCAATAGAGAAAACACAAACTGAAGGAATTCTGGAAATGGAAAATCTGGGTAAACAAGCAGAAACTACAAGCAAGCATCACCAACAGAATATAAGAGATAAAAGAGAGAATCTCAAGTATTGAAGATACAATAGAAGGAATATGTTCATCGGTCAGAGGAAATGTTGAGTCTAAAATATTCCTAACACTAAACATCCAGGAAATCTGGGATACTATGAAAAGACCAAACATAAAAATAACAGGAATAGAAGGAGAAGAATCCCAGATCAAAAACCCAGAAAATATATTTAACAAGAGCATAAGAAAATGTTCTTATCCTAAAGAAGGACATACTTATAAAGGTATAAGACGCTTACAGAACACCAAATAGACTGGACCAGAAAAGAAAGTCCCTGTACCACATAGTAAAACACTAAACACACAGAACAAAGAAATGATATTAAAGCCTGTAAGAGAAAAAGGCCAAGTAACATATAAAGGCAGACCTAGTAGAATTACTAGGATTACTCAACAGAGACTATGAAAGCCAGAAGGGCCTGGACAGATGTCTTGAAGACTCTTAAGAGACCATGGATGCCAACCCGGACTGCTATACCCAACAAAACTTTCAATCACCATAGATATAGAAAACAAGATACTACAAGACAAAGTCAAATTTAAACACTATCTATCCACAAACCCAGCCCTACAAAAATCATTAGATAGAAAACTCCAACCCAAATAAGTTAACTACACCCACAAAAAAGGCAATAAATAATCTCGCACCAGCAAAACCCAAAGGGAAACTCTCTCTTTCCACTTTACCCCCACCACCAAAATAGCAAAATTAACAATCATTAGTCATTAGTATCTCTCAATATCAATGGACTCAGTTCTCCAATAAAAAAAAGCACAGGCTAACAGACTAAATAAAAAAACAGAATCCATCCTTCTGCTGCATGCAAGAAATATACCTAGTATAATGGAAACTCAATGGAATCTATGAGAGTAACCCTAGCAAATACTCCATGTAATGAGAGACATGGAACCTGAATTGGCCATCTTCTATAACCAGGCACAGCCTTAAGAGGGGGATTAGGAAACCAACATAGCCACAAAATATTTGACCTACAGTTTGTCCTGCCTGCTGAGTGTTCTGGGACTAGAGCCTAGCACAACTGTCATCAAAGAGATCAGAGAGCCTTCATCCAGAAACCAATGGGAGCAGAAGCAGAGTCTCAAAGCCAAACACGAGGCAGATCTTGGGGAGTTCTCCAGAGGATGAAGAAGAAGGATTGGAGGAACCAGGGGAGACAGTAACACTGCAAGAACAAGGCCCACAGAATCAACGGACCAGGACAAATGGGGGCTTGTAGGGATCAGGAAGCCTGTAGGGGAGGGGTCTGACCTAAATCTTCTGCATATATGTTAGGGCTGAGTAGCTTGATACTCTTGTGGGATTCCTAACAGTGGGAGTAGGGGATACCTCTGACTCTTTTGCCTGCTTATGGGAACTTTTTCCTCCTACTGGGTCACCTCATCCAGCCTTGATGTAATGGTATGTGCCTGGTATTTATTATTGTAGCATATATGTTAAGTTTGGTTATGTTTTGTTGATATCCCTGGAAGGCCTGCTCTTTTCTGAGGGGAGATGGGGGCTGAGTCTGGGGGAGAGAAGAGGTGCAGAATAGAGACTGGGGAAAGAAAGGGAAAGGAAACTGAGGTCGGGAAGTAATACATGTGAGAATAATAAAAAAGAAAGTATAATCACAAGATGTTAATTGTATTGTAATTTTAGTTATATACTATTAAATATAAAGAATGCATCATAAAATTTAAGTTATAAGATAGCAAGAAGCAATTACTTATTTTGTCTTTGCATTAAAATGGTTTGGCACAATCCCTTATAAACTAGACTCTCACATACTAGAGCCAAAATGACGGCAGAATCCTAATTTTAGTCACCTTACTAGCTACAACATTTGGCCTGGAATTGTCTTGAAAAAAAGATCTAAGAACACTAGGTGGTGTTAAGTGGCACTTAACCCTAACCCAGAGGCAGAGGCAAGGGGATCTCAAAGTATGAGGCCAGTCTGGTCTAGAGGGAGGTCCCAGGGCAGCCAGGGCTACACAGAGAAGCCATCTGGAAACACCACCCTCCCCCCAAAAAAGATCAAAGAAATAAACAACTAGTTATTAAAAATATCAGTCCCATTTGACTTGTATGATTAAACTGATTTCCAGATGGCATTTTGATCATCTTTGAAATACATCAATAAACCATTCCTACCTAGAGAAGAATAAACTACTTCCAAATCTTCAATTTCCTCATCTATTCAACACCAGCCTTCTTTTACTGCTTAGGGTCACTGCTAAGTGAGAAAGTTTGCTAAAACACTGTCAAAAAATGTAATGGAAACATTGTTACTTTTTGTTGTTGTTGTTAATTTTTGAAACAGAGTTTCTCTGGCTGTCCTGGAATTCACTTTGTAGACCAGGCTTGGCTCCAACTCATAGATCTGCCTGCCTCTGCCTCCTGACTGCTGGGATTAAAGTGCATACCATCATTTCCTGGTTGTTATTATTATTATTTTTTAATTACAGATAGAGCCAATCTGACAGAGTGAAGTTAGGGATCATACATGAGTAAGTTCATAAATTTAAAGTCTGGATTTTATTACTTAATAACTACATGATTCTGAGGCAATTAAATTCTCAAGAAAATGGGCATACTGAACCTGCCTTAAATAGATGCTACAGGAGTATGGATTATACTTATGACTTAAAATGAGATGATTTTAAGAATACAGAATATATTCTTTTAAAAAATATGTATTTACTATGTATACAGTGTTCTGTCTGCATACCAGCAGAGGGAAGCAGATCTCATCACAGATAGTTGTGAGTCATCATGTGGTTGCTGGGAATTGAACTCAGGATCTCTGGAAGAACAGCAAGTTCTCTTCACCTTTGAGCCATCTCTCCAGCCCACAAAATATATTCTTATAAAAGGAGCTAATTATCTATAAATGGTAGTTAATTGAAGTAATGCTGTTGATAATTAAAATAAAAAATAATCCTTTGCCAGGACCAAGCATGTAATGCTCGATTTCTGCCTGTGTTACTGTTTGTTTTTTTTTTTTTTTAGACAAAAGTCACTGCCAAAACTGATAATAAAAATCACTAGTAAATGAAGAAATAAACTGGGAATATTCAGTTATGTATCAAAATTTAGATGGGTATAGTTCAGAAAGAATGACCATTTGTTTTAATACAAATCTTTCAAAAAGAATTATTTCTCTCAAAGGAAGGTCAGACTCCAAATGTAGAGTTTGAGCATAATTAAGTAGAGTAGGGGGAATAGCTCACAAGTATAGCGTAGGCTCAGTATATGCACATGCACATGCACAGGCACACATGCACACATGTACACACAAGCAAAGAAAATAATTAAGCAATATGTAACAAGGTTCTAATTTAGTATTTCTACTTTTAACTTACTGTATACCAGATTTCAAATGATTATGACAAATGTGTGACTAATAACTCACTGTCAAAACAGTTTACTTTATCAAATGGCTAGATTAAACAATTCACATTGGGGCCAGAACACTAATACCAAGTTTTTCTTCTCTATAAATTCCTTTAAAAACAAAAGCAAAAAAACTTCCCTCTGCTTTTCTTTAGAGGGCCACATTTCCCATTTGATTTATGTTTCTTAGCAAATGGAATAAAAAAGCTCCACAACCAAGAGTGATCAGCACTCATTTAGCCAAAATCCACTATTTACAGGCATGGACTCTCCCTGGCAGCCTAAGAATTCAGGTGGTTAGTCCACCACATTCTCATCTGCTAACTTACAACATTCTTCTCTCCAGGGAGTATTTTGGCTTCTGAGTTTCTGTGGTCACATGCCAGTTTTCATTCTTTCTTTCACCTTAGTTTATTACCTCATTAATTCAAAAGAATGAAACCTAAATGACAACACTGCACTATGCTGATACAGAGCACATCCCTTAGTGCTATCTAAGATTCTTCTGAGCTCCAGTGTGTTAAACTCTCTGTATTAAATAAACAGGAGCCCCAGAAGGAAATTTATAATGAAGGCAAAGATTAATGGGAAAAAAGTGTGGTCGAGGCATTGTCATGATACAGTAACTGATGAAAATGTGACACACTTTGACACACAGGACCAAGTGTGACACCTTGGGATTGATTATCCAAGGTATAACTATCACTGCTATGATGGTATAGTTTCTCAGTTCTGAAAATGAAACATTTTATTAATATTTTAAAATTAACTAAATACACTTACGTACATTTTTGAATAGTTGCTCAGCAAGTTCTCTGATGTGCTTTATCATCTTCATCGGGTTATTTTCTTCAACTTTAATTCTCTCTACTTCAAAAGCTACCAACTTGGAAAAAGAATCAAATGGCAATAATCAATACCCAAATACGCTGAATTGAAAAACTTGATTTTCATAAAAATGCAAACTAAAAATACATGTTATTTTAAAAATAAATTACTTTAGATTTATACTGGGTTTCACCTTTATCCCAGGATGACAAAGGCTTATCAAATTCATGGCTTGCCAGGTACTCAAGTGATTCCTGGGGAAGTCATTTGAGTGCAGAGAAGCATTTCACGCTATAGGCCTCACTCGTGATAATTCACTTATTTAGAAAAATTCAGAATGAGAGAAAAGACTCAAAATATTTTTTAACTTACAAATATTAACAAATAATTCATGCTGTGCTGACTGGACTTTATGGACAGTATGACCTGGGTTCATAGTCCTCATCTTTAAGTGACTATGGAACAGTAGGATGCCATTTAGACTCCTTTTAGTTCTCAAATGATATATATGAGATCCATCTCCCTATTAACTAGTTTGTTAAGACAATTGTGGGGGAATATAGTCTTCCTGTAGAAGACTGACATGAAAAGAATGTAGGAGAGGAAACAGATGAGAAGGGAAAGGAACTAGAGTGCCTTCCTTCCAGGAAAACAAAGACAGCACATAGCCTAATATTGCTATTAATGAAGTTTCAGAAACCAGTTAGGAAAGGACTTTGGCAAGCATGTTAGTTTAACTATAGAAGCCATCAACCATTGAGTACTTAATTAGGAACCTAAAGGTTGATATAAATGTTGGTTTGATCAAAGACTAAGTCACATTAACTGATATTAACAGGGAACCAAAGCTCAGTAAGTACCTACAAACAACCATGCAAGTCAGGGTACTGTGTCTTATAGATGCATGTGCTCATTACTAAGTGAGGCCCAAGCATAGGTCTTTATTCAGAAAAGAAACTCTGCTTCCCTTTCCTTACCTGTGAGTACTTAACTATCTTTACAAAGAATAAAAGATACATCTCAAAACAAAACAAAAAACTTTATTCCTACTTTCTTTTCATAAGATAAGCTACCAGTGGCAAAGGGTGACAGAGCCTTCTTTATTTTGGGCTGCAGGAGTGATTTTCTTTGATGGACATTGGGAACTTTAGAATCTATTGATTCCAATATGGTGATGTTTCAGAAACTGAAATACAAATGGTATTTGCTTTCCTGTGCCCATAATACACTGTTGTGAATATAGAATTAAGTGATAAATGGAAATGTATTTTTAAGAAAGAGAAAGCACAATAAATGTAAAATACTATCTTATTCATTTAGTCTATTTCTCCCTTTACATGTGGCCAAATCCTTGATAGAGAATATATATCTGGCCCAAATAGTTCTACTAAGGTGCTAGAAAATGGTAATTACTGATTAGTAGGAATGCTATAAATTTAAATTATGGCTCTATGACATTGGTGGACTAAACATAATGGCAAATTAGAGTCACAAATCTGTGCATCAAGTAAAATCCAGTGGCAGACTGACAATACTGAATAACTGTATTTCAAAACTGAGCTTTATTTCTATAAACACTGTCCAGTTTTCAAAAAGATCTAAGAAGCTATTCAATCTTAGTTATTCAAACTTCTTTATGTAGTTCTGAAACATTCTATAATTTTCTCAATTTACATTATAAATATCAAGATTTGATACATAATATTTAGATTACTTAATGTTTAATTTACAATTTTTATGAATGAGTAAATGTTAAAATGATGGTTTTAGTCATTGATAAGAACTATACCTCATCAAAGAGATCGCAGGCTCTATATGGAGGCCCTCTTTCTGAAACAAAACCTGCAAATGCCATTCCATTGAGCACTTTCGTGAGGAAATCATTCTCAACCAAACCACGCTGCCCCAAGAAAGCTGTCTATAAAGAAACAAATGTGAAACGATAATTTATCACTGGGTAATTAATAAATAGTTAAAATAAAAATAGAAAGATTGAAAATTGCTTGAATGCTTTCAGGTATAACTAAACATTGTCATGAAACACATTGCTTTCAAAGGGTTTTGTCTAATACCTGAAATATTACATGTATTTGGAAAAATAAAAATCCATCTAAGAGAAGGAAAAAATCAGATATTAATATTCAACTTTAATAAGAGAAAAATCAACTTTAAGTTTATATATTCTGAAGGAAAATATTATACCAACACTGTGTCACATAACACAGTGACTTTAATCACATTCAAAAAATTAATTCAATACACATGGCCAAGAGAGTGGTTCTTTAAGTGAGTCCAGTTGGCAGACAACCTGGCACTATGTCTTACTTTGTGAAAGTGAATCACAGGCTCAGCATGGATCCGTATAAGCTGGAGGCATGACCTATATCCTTGGAACAGTTGTGCAAATAACCTAAGGAAAACTGCTCGTACTTCTTTATCCTGGAATTATAAAAAGAAACACATAGGTTATTTAATTTAAAATCAACAACAACAACAAATTAAGTAAAACAGAGAGAAGGAAGACATTTGAGTGAGCAAGTGTCCTGTGCTTCCAATATTGTCTCCCTGAGCAGCAGACACAGACCCATGGGAGTCTACCTATTTTGGTCTGTTCTTTCTACTGAACCAAATAAAATTTGATTCTAGTTCATACAGTTTTCTTCCAGAGGAAAAATAAGTACAAGAGTTTTCTCTTTTACTGTGTCAGTGAAAGGAATATATGCCAAGACCTTTGATTTTTCTATATGCAAAAAATTATAGTTACAAATATAAAAGGGAAAAGCTCTCAAAAGATTATATGACTTTAAAAAGTAAGTCTTGCCAATCCAGGCTTTAATAGAAAGAGTTTTAAAACCATTAAAGAAAAGTCCACATTTATTAGTCAAAATCTTATTTAACAGATAAAGAAATCAAGGTCAACAATGCTTATATCACTTTTCAAAGGACCATAGCTCTGCAAGATCTCCTACTGGTCCCACATTCACCTGTAAGACATAAACTGAGCAAAATAAAAAAGGGGTGTCTACTATTTTTCCATTCTGTTATGACTGCTAATCCAAATACATTGTGGAACACTTATTCCTCAAACCTGACTCTCTCCTATAATCAACATTCATTGCTTCATTTTTCTAAGTATCCCCATCCTAATGCTGATGTACCACAGTGATACAGCACATGCATAGCACGAGTAAGGCTCATGGTTTGATACACAGCACTACAGAAGTAGTTTTCCAGACTAAATCTGAAGCACTGATTTCTTTTGTTGTCCTTACTCTTGCCTCCTAAAAAAAAAAAAAAAAAAAAAAAAAAAGTCAAATATTCTCTCCTGTAACACCTTCCTGAGGACAGAATTCTAATTTCTATTTGGGGATACTACTAACTAATTTACTTCAGTGAACCTAAAAGTATTAGCACTCGTTTAAAGTACCAAATTTGAATATTAAATTTCTTACCAGCATTTTTGAGTGGGATAAAGCTGTTCGTGGAGGAGGGAAAGCATGATCTGCTACTTCCAAATCAGGGTGCAAAATCTAAAGAAAACAAGTTTATTATATAAGATATCTAGGATTAATAAGACTTACCCTATAGTTTCTTTGAGGCATTAAGTGAATTGTCAGTATATGAGTTAGATTATATTCCCACTATGTGATATAAATCACTTAATTGATACAGCTTTGCATGTACTGTTGTGGAAAGATCCCTAAGACAAACCATTAGATTAGAAAAAAAAAAAAATCTCCTAGGTGCTGGATAGATATGGCTCAGGGGTTAAGAGCACTTGTGTTTGCAGATGACCAAGGTACAATTCCCAACATGATGGCTCATAACTTCCTGTACCAGTTCTAGGGGCTTTGACATCTTCTTCAGATAGGTACTCATGTGGCATGAAGACAAAATACCCATACAAATGGAATAAAATAAACATTACAAAAAAAAAGACAAACTAGAAAAAGTCATATAGCATGTCTCACTTATTTGAAAATAATAAACAAATAAATGCACACACAGATAAACATACCTCTGAGTACGTACAGTTCTCAAAGAGCATATACCAAATTATAAAAGATAAGCCACTATTGGGAAGTGAGCAGTTGGGAGCAGTGCTACATATCCATATGGCTATTTTTTAAAAGAGGTGAATTTTATATCTTGTAATTTAAAAATTAAACAGATGAGATAAATAGAGAGCCCCAAAATAACACCACACAGCTACAAACATGTGATTTTGACATAAGTATCAAAAACATGTATTATAAAAAAGACAATTTCTTTAACAAGTAGTGCCACACACATGAATGGCACTAGACCTTTCTGTGTCTTATCCTGCAAAAAAACAAAACAAAACAAAAACTCAAAATGAACTAAAAAAACTGTAATATAAGACCTGAAATTTTGCAACTTTTAGAAGAAAACATGAAAAATACTTCAAAATCTATTCACAGGCAAAAAGATCTCTTGAAGAAGGCTCCAATGGCTCAGAAGAACCTATAAATGGTACTACACAAAGTAAAACCATTAAAAGAGAGAAGAGGTAGCCTACAGAATTAGAGAAAACCTTTGCCAACTACATATTGGATCAGAAAGTCATATCTCAAATATATAAACAACTCAAGTGTTAAAGCCAATAAAACAAATCACCTAATAAATAAGTTAATAATTTATAATAATTAGAAAAAATGGCTAGTAAATATTTGAAAAAAGAATGGGTAACATTCTTAGCAATCAGAGAAACAAAAATTAAAACTATACTTAGATTTCATCTCCTGCAAAGTCAGAATGACTGTCATCAAGACAACAAACGACAACAAATGCTGGCAAAGCTGTGGGGAAGGCAGAATTTAAAACACCACTGAGAGGCGTGTAAACTGGTGCAACCTCTATGTAAATCAGTATGGTCATCAAAAAAGTGAAACAAGAAAACCAAACCAAACCCCACAATCTCACATATCTATACCACTCTTAGAGTAGTAGTCACCTAAAAGAAATTACATCAGCAAACCACTGAAATAGGCATACCCATGTATACTGCAGTATTAGTTTACACAGAATAATGGAAATGGGCTACTAGAGAGCTAGCCAATAAGAAGCCTGAGCCATCGGCCAAACAGTTTATAATTAATATAAGCCTCAGTGTGTTTATTTGGGACTAAATGTTTGTGGGACCAGGCAAAACAGAAACTCTGTCTTCACTAGTTAAAATGACCAAGATACCCAGATGCCTATTGATGAATAAAGAAAATGTTATGCAGTTTTAACTGGAATTGATGAAAGTGTCATAATTGAAAGCCCATTTTGTATTCTAACAAAAATTAATTCATAAATGTTTAAAGGGGAGACAGCAAAAACAGCTCAGTGTTCTTCCAAAGAATCTGAGTTTGGTTCCCAGTTCCTACATCATGGCTTACAATCACCTACAACTACAGTTTAGATACCTTCTTGCCTACTCAGTTGTTGCACACATATGGTGTACATACATGCAAGCAAATAATGCATACCCATACAGTAAAAATGAAAAAAAAAGTTTTTTAAAGTATATTGAAAAAATAAAAGCAGAAAACACAACAAACTAATTAATTGAATTACTCAGGGAAGGAAGAAGCTCTTAAGCTTTGCATTTTAGTACAGTGTAGACTGTGATGAATCTATGAATAGTAACTTGAGAAATACCAAGTGTAACTACCCAGAAAAGTTAAAGAAAAAGGTTAATATTTGAGTTCAGCTTTGTGTTGTGGAATACTTGTTTACACTGCAGAGATGTGTCACTGTCATTGGTTTAATAAAGAGCTAAATGGCCAACCGCTAGGCAGGGGAGAATAGGTGGGACTTCTAGGCAGAGAGAGGAACTAGGCAGAATCTAGGTGGCACACAAGAGATGCCAACAAGACCCTGAAGAAGCTGGACATACAGTACAGAGGAGAGGTAACTGACCCATATGGCAGAATGTAGATTAATAGGAACAGGTTAATTCAAGTTAAAAGAGCTAGTTGTGGAAAAGCCTAAGCTATAGCCAAGCTTTCATAATTAATAAGTTTCTGTGTTGTTGTTTGTGAGCTGGCAGCCTAAAGGAAGGTACCCAATGTCCAGCTATGCATATCCACATAAGGGCTGAGAAATGTGGGGGGAAAAAAATCAGAACATGGAGTCAGACATGGCTTTCAGGCAATCTTTGTCTTTCAAGCAGACTCAGTGCTTGCAGCATGCAGAGGGGTGGCCCCTTTAATACAACTGATCACTTAAGCAGCCTGTGAGCTACTGGTGCTGCAGACTAGATAAAAATGTCTGCCACAGCTTAGACATAGCAGCTTCCAGAGCAGGGACAGTTAGGCCCAGGGTCGGAGGGTGGGGACTCGGAGAGGCAGCTACCAGTACCAACTGCTGAGTTAGCTGCACAGCAGAGGGCCTAGCTGCAACCTAGCAGTTTAAGCTTTGGCTCATTTGGACAGAGAATGTTGGAGGTACTTAGTAAAGCCAGGTCCAGACTGAATAAACCTCTAAACAGGTACAAAATGCTTAAAAGTCTGCATAGATGCTAAAGAAAGAAAACAAAATAGGTATAGACAAGCATAGAAAATAGTTTACAAATAATAAAGTTAAGTCTTTAAAGAAAGAATAAAGTTTTATATGCATGTATATATGTACGTATGTATTATAATAAGCCATATAAGGATGGGAAATACAGTGTGCCTGGATCTGTAAGTTACTTTGTTGACTTTAAGGTTTTTGAATGCTGATGAGCTAAAGACAAACGAGGTTGTGAGACACTGCACTTGCTAAACTGAACCAACCTATACATTTTTAAAAATGTCTTAATTTCATAATGTAAGTCAGGAAAGGTATTATATTAGGGGAGAGGTTATGACTTTGTTTCCTCAGGAAACAAAAAGCTATGGGGTTTTCAAAGTTAATAAAGATCAGATTTGATTGGAAGAGATCACCTGAAAATCTTGGCTACAGACAAGAAGGAAGAAACCAAGAAAAACTACAAGACAGGTGACATATATGCTGATCCCTCTGCAAGGGAACAGCTCTAAGACTGGATGAGACATGATAAATCTTGTTGACTACAAAGTCCTCATGACTTATTATTACATGCCATACTTTCATGTGACATGGATGAAGATTTATATTACAATTTGGTTATATAATCCAAACAGACTTATAAAGTTGAGAGACATCTTTTATTGCTCAAACACAGAGCAGACAATTATCTTTAGCTGACTTGCACATGCCACACAATTCCACACTTGTGCCAATGCATATGTATGTATGTATGTATGTATGTATGTATGTATGTATGTATGTTACCTTTAAAAGTTTGTATATTATCAGAACAAAAGGATAGACACCAATGAAGACAAGTCAAATAGCCAAGGTGATCCAATCCCACAGAATGCCTCTGGTGCAGTTTCCTCAAAAAATCTGCATCTAGGACAGCAACACTGCTAGCTGAGATGGTCCAGCATCACAAACTACTCTCACCAGGACTTCAGATAAACCCTTCACTTTCCCATCACATAAAGATTGGACAACAAAGCCATGTGGTAGTGGTGCACGCCTTTAGTCCCAGCACTCGGGAGGCAGAGGCAGGCAGATCTCTGTGAGTTTGAGGCCAGCCTCAAAGTGAGTTCAAAGAAAGTTACATACTCCAAAGTTACATACAGAAACCCTGTTTTGGGGGGTGGGGGGGAAACTGGACGACAAATGATACAGCTAGCTCTCTTAGGACTTGATCATTATCCCAATTTTCTCAGTGTCTCCTAAAGATGCTGTGTCCCAACACAATAAGAAGCAGACTAGAGAACTTGATGCCCACATTCCCAAGAGGTGGAGAAGATGGGTTTTGGTTGTTCAGTACGTTATGAATGTTTGTTATTGTTTAGGTGGCTAGTTACAAGTTGTTATTGGTCATGGTGAGGAAGAAACAAAGCAAAGGAGGTTAGATTCAGGGATCTCAGTCTGAAAAGAATAAAAGGGAGATAAAGGAAAGGTAGGCTAAAAGGGTAGATTACTGAAACTACTTTTGAACTAAAAAAGCAACTACTAGCCTTAAATATTTTAAACTGGTATTAATTTCTGTATATTGATACAAATTTAAGGTTATTTTTAAATATACTGTATATATGTTTCTATTCTTGTTTAAGGTATTGTACCTATGCAGCTTGTCTAAAAAATGTAATGCATTATTAAGAAATCAGGTTGGTAGTTAGTCATCTATAATAATCAAGCATGTAGCCATTAGATAGTTTTTCGAGGTTTAAAGGAGATATATTTACATAGCCAAATGGTCTCCAAATACTTCAGAGACCTACAGAATATGTCATTTAAGACGTTTTAATAGGGCTGGGAAATAGCTCAGAGTCCTGAATTCAATTCCCAGCAACCATATGGTAGCTCACAACCATCCATAATGAGATCTGGTATGCAGGCATACATGCAAGTAGAACACTGGATATACAATAAATAAAATTTTAAAAAAGATGTTTTAATAACATAAGCCTTTTCATGACAGTGGGATATGTCTGCTCCTGGT